GTGGTTGTGTTCCTGGTGGGCAATGCCTCGGGGATGCCTTTCACGCAGCTGCGGAGATTGTACGGTTTCCCATTGTCTCTTCCGCGTTCTGTGCTGGATTCTTGTTACTGACCTATTAGTGGCCACACCCTTCTTCCTCAGCAGTACAGCAGCCTGCTGGTGACGGTCATTAACACTGCCCTGCTCATCAACATGGCGCGCTCTCTACTGCCGCTCTTCCGCAAACCCGACCCCATATCCGACATTCCATTAACGCCCGGCCAGCGCAAGCTACTGGGTCTGCCGGCCCTCAAAACGTCAGCCACGCCCAATGCCGTCTACACGACGCCGCCGCGGTACACTCGCACGCCGTCGGTTTCAGGCTCGGCTGCGAGCATTGCTGCCGCCACGCATGGCAGCGGCAAGAGCACTGAGGCCAGCTTCAGCAAGAGCTTCACCGGCTCGCCCATCTCGGGCAGCCCGCTGTTCCCCAAGGCTCGGCCCGCTAACGGCGGCCCTTCCAGTGGCAGCCGCAGCGGCTCGCCCTTCTCGCCGACCAGCCCGTTCCAGAACACACGCAAGGCGTCTTTTGGCTCGCCGGGCACCCTGGGCGGCTCGGCAAACGTGGCGCTGGGTGCGGGTTCCCTCTTTTCTGACTCGACAATGTCGAGCATGCCCGGCACGCCGAGCCCGACTGGCAAGCGGCTCAGCATGGGTCTGAACAACAAGTGGCTGTATGAGAAGGGACGCCGCAGTTCCAGCGGCTCACGACTGTACTAAGTGTGCACTACGGGGAAGGAGAGAAGTGTCAGGTGCTAGAGCGACGATGTGGCAAAGGAGAAAAAACAAAAGCAAAAACAACTGCGTTTGGCTGTCGTCGATAATGCCACGGAGGGAGGCCGAGACCCACTCCGCCGTGATGGGAGACGACGATACCCATGGTAATAAGGTTTGTAACACAAGCGGGCCTGTGCAATGTATGAATAAAGGTATAATAGGTAGAGTTGGTTTGATTAATGTCAGCGTCTATGAGCGTTATAATCTCGCACGAAATATTTACAGTTGAGAGTTTAAGCTCTGGCACTGCGAATTGTAGTGTCACTGGGTCCCGCCAAAAATATAGCGACCCAATGCCGTCTACAGCGCCCGTTGAACTCTGGGACGCCTAACAAGGTCGCTGAACTTGGTGCCTTTAGGCCGATAGTGACTTCCTAAAGCTGTGACGTAGCGAAGTGTTCCCGAAGCGGAAGCAGCTAACGGGCAAAGTGTAATCATCCACCTTGGGCAGGTGCCCGTCCTGCAAGACATTCTCGTCGTGTTCTGAAAACACTCTCCGCACTGCACACCTCCAGTTCATCCACCGACGGTACATCCTCCGCATCGGGTGCAAAACAAGGACCGCACATCGACACGCCTCCCATTTCGACCACATCCCGACTCGCCTTGGACAACTCGGTGCATCCTTGTTGACCGCCTTAGCCCCCTTCCCTGCCGCCACCATGGGCGCCAGCGATTCGAAGCTGGTCTTCAAGAAAGGCATCTTCCGTCTTTCGGAGGAACGCAACATCCGCGCCGACGATCCCTACTGGACGTCGTTTTGGGAGCTGCCCGAGTCGCCCGAGGATGTCTTCAGTCTCTTCTCGCCCGCCGACATTCGCCGGACCCGCGATTCCGCCCTCGAGAACCTCGAAACGCTGCTACTTGCCGTCACATCGCGGCTCTTTTCATTACGACACCACCCGTCCTTCCCAGAGCAGGACATCGCCCCAGAGCGCGATCTTCTCAACTGCGTCCGTGTCCTGACACGTGTGCTGCCCTACATCTACGAGCGCGAGTCGCTGCAGGCCTGGGAAGAGCGTTTCTTTTGGTCCGTGCGGCGGAAACGGTCACGCTCGGCTGCATCTGCCGGCGAGGTGCTCTTTGACGAAGCCGATACTGCCGACCAGAACGGCGACGATGGCAGCGACAGGGCCGCACCACAGGACGGCTTTGAAGAGGCCAAACCGCTCGCCGAAGAGCTCATCGACACACTGATCGACCTGCTCTTCTTCTCCGGCTTCACCGTCGCACGCCAGCCACCGGGCAAGCCGCGCGTCAGCTACACAATCTGGCAGAGCGGTGTCGGTTGCAACACGACGGTGCCGACAACCAAGGAGTCGGAGAGCAACCGCTGCGAGCTTCTGCGCCTGCTGTTGACGCTCTCAAGCTCCAGCCTATACCGGCCTGCAGGTGCCTTGCCGGCCCATGGTGTACGGTCTCTGACGTACATCTGCACATGTCCCGACAAACAGGTTGTACTATCTGTTCTGTGCTCATTGCTGAATACGGTACGTCCTCTCCCTGCTTTTGTAGGGGGGCTAGTATTGCCTGCCATCTGGCTCTCTTCCTTTATACTAAATTGCTTTTCAGACTGTCAAGTACAACCCCGCGAGCTGGCGTGTGCCGTACAACAACCTCGTCTTCAAGGACCCAAAGCAGATCCTTGTCACCTACAGCCTGCACTTCCTCCTTGTGGTTCTCCTATATCCCATCCCACCCGACCCAGTGACCGGCTCCATCTCCAAGAACTACTACCGTCACTTCCTCGGCCGCCTGCACCGCCCGACCGATTTCCAGTTCATTGTGGACGGCATGACCCGCATTCTCAACCAGCCGCTGCAGGCCACCACATCCTACATCCCCGGCACACAGTCATCCGTCAAGTTTGCGCCCGAGATCATCATGCTGTTCTGGGAGATCACGCAGTGCAATAAGCGCTTCCGGTCCTTCATTATCGATACGCAGCGAGCCCACGACTTTGTGATCCTCATCCTCTTCTACGCTCTCGAGTGCAAGAACGACAGCACACGCCAGGGCGTCGTCCGCATGTGTGCCTTTTTGCTGCAGACCATGAGCGTCGAAAAGAACTTTGGCATCAACCTCAACAAGATGTTCGATACCCAGGACACCCTCCCGCCGGCTATCCGCATCCAAAACTTCCGCGGCACCTATGCCGACTTCCTCATCCAGTCTATTTACAGCCTCATCACAGCGAGCCAGAGCCGTCTGACAGCCATCTACCCAGCTCTCCTGGCTGTCATTAACAACATTGCCGCCTATGTCGAGGGCCTAAGCGCGCGGACGAGCTCGCGCCTGATTCAACTGTTCAGCTCCATGTCGTCGCCGTCGTTCCTCCTGGCCAACGACAGCAACCACAATCTACTCTGCTCTCTATTGGAGGCTCTGAATGCGACCATTGAGCACCAATATTCGAGTATGTACTTTTCTAGTGTCCCAACAACGCGGGTAGTAGGATATGAAAGATACTAACAGTAGGGCCAGAAAATCCCCAGCTTGTATATACCATTGTCCGAAATCGGAAGCGTTTCGAGTCGCTTCGCAATCTCACACTCGACAATGGTCGGGAAGAGATTGAGCGCCGCATGCAGCGCCGCAAAGACTCGGGCGCTACTGGTGACGAGCCAGCGGAACTCGGATCGAGACGGAGTTCCGTAGACAGCCTGCGGAGCCCAACAACTTCGCACCACCACGGCCAGCAACACGCGCGACCGTCTCAGGCGCTAAGCGACGTGGCCGAAGATGACGCATTTGCCATTGGCGGTGACGATGACGAAGACGAAAGCGATGACGACGAACCCCGGCCCACGCCCTCACAGTCCAGTCCCTGCGAGAACCCATCACGCGCGTCGCCGGCCATGTCTGTTGAAGACGCCGTGCCAACCCAGGTGCGCGGTATGTCGGAAAAGGCACGCGGGAAGATGCCAGCGGGCGCCGGCCCTTTCAGCTTTTCACGGCAAAATAGCACCACAAGCCTGGGAAGCGGCTCCGCGCACGGCGGTAGCAGCGATAACAACCTGGCCGGAAGTGGGCGCCTCGATGGCCTGGGCGGCGGCGGAAGTGGTACTGGCGGGTTGGGAGGCAGCGGCCACGGGTTTGAGCCGACGGTCCAGTGGTTCGAGAGCTGGCTGCCTGAGCTGCCGCTGCACACGATCCTGGCCGTGATGCAGCAGATATCGGCCCTGATCCCGCGGGACGAACTGGCCGTCGACTATCCTTCACCGGACACGTTGCAGCGCATCCAGGATGTACACCTCGCGGGTATCGAGCCCTCGACGATCCGCGTGCACTCGTTTGAGTGGTCGGCGCTGGCGCTGGGCTGGTACGAGTCCATGCTGTGGAGCTTCATCTTCAGCAGCGAAATGCAGGTCGCCAAGGGCACCGTTGTGGGCGTGTGGAACAGCACGGCTATCAAGCTGTTCCGTGTCCAGGAGGCGGCGGCACAGGGGCCTTCGTTGACTTCGCCACGAGGTGCTGTCGACGCCGTGGGTAGCAACATCGTGTCGCGGATCGGCCAGATCAACCTCCGCGGCAACAATGCAGCCGGTGTGGCCCTCGGATCTGCTGCCGGTGGTGGTGCAGCTGGCGGTAGTGCGAACCACGACGCTGGCAACGCAACTAGAAACCCTCCGGCAACCAACAATCCAGCGCCGCCGAGTTCGTAGATGTTTACAGAGTTTGCTTGGTATTACAGCTCATCGCTGCTTCGGAACTTTTTTGGGGTTTTTATTTTCTAGCCTATTCTACATTCTGTTTCCTCACGATTCGATGTTTTCCTACCATTCCGCTAGCAGTCACGGTAGTCTTGTTCACTGAGTTTTACCTATTTCTCATTACACGCATTTGGTATTGAAGCGAGTTTATCGCAAGTCTTAAGAAATACACGCTAACCTGATATGGCAATGTTACTGCCGTTGTGAATTAAAGTGGGTCCAGGCTCGCGGCGCGCAAACCAAAAGGTGTTCCTTGCGTTTGGCGACACGATTCTGGAAGGACACGACTTCATCTCCAGCAAACTACAACGACAGAGGCCGGCCTCGACACAACGAACGGCCGATTTTACCTCGGGTTGCGGACGATTCGCATCGACCTATAAAAGACATAATTGCTGCCTGCCCCTCCCATACTCCTTGGCACCTCCGACCACGCTCGATCACTCGACACCCTCCATCCTCTTCGTCACGATGCATTCTTCCCTCGTCCGCCTCCAGAATGTCTTTGGCTTCTTCACGACAGTTGTGACGGTTCTCGCCTGTCTGATTGCCGTGACAGATTTGCTGCACGCGCGCACACCGAGTGCGACCGTCCGGCCAGCCGGTCTGCAAGTGTGAGTGCGCTTCATGCTTCCCGACGGCCCAATTTACTTGGTTGCTTGCTGCCTTGATGGACCGTCGCACTGACAGCCACCCAGAGTCCGCGGCCGTCCGCACTACTACAGCAAGAAGAAGGAGGAGTACGCCGTCGTGCGCTTCCACCTGGACGCCGACCTGTCGTCGCTCTTCACTTGGAACACGAAGCAGGTCTTTGTCTATGTCACGGCCGAATGGGGCGACGAGCACGCCAACGCCACCGAGGCCACCAACACCGCTGTCATCTGGGACAAGATCATCACGAGCCCCAGCTCCGACCACCTGGCCAACATTGGTCCCGTCGCGATGCGCAAATTGCGCAAGAGCTCCGAGGGCAAGGCCATCGACCCGAGCCGGTAGGTTTCGGCATTCCCGTCCGACCCCTTAGTATTTGGATCACGCCATGCCTAACCCTTCCAGCGGCATTCTGCACCTCAAGAACCAGAAGCCCAAGTACCAGATCACGCACCCCAGCGGCAAGATCGCCGAGACCGAGCAGGTGCGCCTGCGCGTGCACTACAACGTGCAACCATGGGTCGGCATGCTCTCGTGGAACCAGTACAGCGGCGACGGAAGCATTAGCAGCTGGCTCCTTCCGCAGCGCGGCGGCGCCGGTTCGCCGCTGTGGCAGCCGCTGGCCGGTGGTGAGAGCAAGGCGTTTGAGCTGCCGGCCGTCGGTGCCAGCGGCAGCGCAAGCAAGAAGGACAAGGCGGCCGAGAGTTCGGCATAGTCTGGATTACTCTAACTTTCTGTCATGTCACATGTGAGCGGTGGAAATTGCATCTTTGTTGTATCTTTGTCGTTTGTTTTAAATTTCAAGAAATGCGCGCATTTTGCTCCAATGCGAGAGTCCGTCATTTTCTCAATGTGCCATATGCCTGTACTACCGTATCGGACCGGTTTCCGTGTCTCCAGAGTGTCCCGTTACGACGTATTTCGTTGGTGTCGACTTCGACTTCGTCCAAGGTCTGTTGACTCGCCCATTAAACCCGCGTCGTCTTCCAAAGCCCAATACAACGCAGGTTGTATGTTGTACATTAGTGCGTCCAGTGGCAGCTTCCAGGCGTAAGGCTACCTCCTGTCTCCTACTGTTTGGGACGGCCCCTCGTTTTTCCGGAACCGGCCCAACCCCACTACTGCGCCTTGTTGCTCTAGCAGGCGGCAGGGGCGAGCCGCAGGGCCTGCCTGTGGCTGGCGCTGCACCGTCTGACGCATCTGCCTTTTCTTGGTTTGCGGCGCATCGCCAAAATACAATCACAAACTTCCACCGCCAGCCTCACTTTTTACCTTTCTCCTTTCTCCCCTCCCCTTTCCTCCTTTCCGCCTTCTTCCCCCCACCTCTTTTCTCCGCCTTCCTCGCTGCTTAGCTTCAGCATCTATCCCTACGGTCACAGCGACCGCCCTTCATCGTTTACGCAGAACCGACGACGCGCAGATCTGTGACTGAGGCTCGACTGTTTAGTTGTCTCCGTCCCCTCCGTCTTCCTTCTCCGTTTCCCCCCCTTCAACCTACTCAGACATCATGGGTGTCCCCAAGTTCTTCCGATGGCTCTCGGAGCGGTATCCGGCCATCTCACAGCTGATTGCCGAGAACCGCATCCCCGAGTTCGACTGCCTCTACCTCGACATGAACGGCATCATCCACAACTGCACCCACAGCGACTCGGACGACGCGATGACCCGCTTGAGCGAAGAAGAAATGTTTATACGCATCTTCAATTACATAGAGCACCTGTTTGGCAAAATCAAGCCCAAGCAGATGTTCTTCATGGCCATCGACGGCGTGGCACCCCGCGCCAAGATGAACCAGCAGCGCTCGCGTCGTTTCCGCACGGCCCTCGACGCCGAGAACATGCGCAAAAAGGCCATTGCCGAGGGCCAGCAGATGCCTACCGAAGACCCCTTTGACAGCAACTGCATCACCCCGGGCACTGCCTTTATGGCCAAGCTGTCCACCCAGCTCAAGTACTTTGTCAACAAGAAAGTCAGCGAGGACAAGGAGTGGCAGCAGTGCAAGGTCGTGCTGTCGGGCCACGACGTCCCTGGCGAGGGCGAGCACAAGATTATGGAGTACATCCGGAACGCCAAGGCGCAAAAGGACTACAACCACAACATGCGGCACTGTCTGTACGGCCTCGACGCTGATCTGATCATGCTGGGTCTGCTGAGCCACGACCCGCACTTCTGCCTCCTGCGCGAGGAGGTCACCTTTGGTCGCCAGAACAAGACCAAGTCCAAGGAGCTGGAGCACCAGAACTTTTACCTGATGCATCTCTGCATTGTACGCGAATACCTCGAGCTCGAATTCCAGGAGCTCAAGACTGAGGGGCTCATGAAGTTCCCCTTCAACTTGGAGCGCATCATTGACGACTTCATTCTCATGGCATTTTTTGTCGGAAACGACTTTTTGCCCAATCTGCCGCGTCTTCACATCAACGAGGGCGCTCTGGCAACCATGTTCACATTATATAAGCGCGTGCTGCCCCAGTGCGAGGGCTACATCAACGAGGGCGGCAGCGTCAACGTGGAGCGCCTCGGCAAGCTGCTCGCAGAGCTCTCCAAGGAGGAGTTCCGCTTTTTCGAGCACGAGATCGAGGGCGAGAAGTGGTACCAGGCGAAGCTGATGAGTCACGCGCCGGCGGGCGAGGGACTCACCATCGCCGTCGACAAGAAGAAGCGCGGCGGCCGCAACCACGGCAGCAGCACCAACGGGACGCCGAACAGCAGCAACACCAACAGCTTTGCCCCCACGCCCACCCCGCAGTCAGCCGCCGCCGCCGCCGCTGCCGCCAACAAGGGCAAGATCCAGCTGTCCAACTTCCAGAAGGAGCTCTGGAAGTCCAAGATCCGTAAGTTTGTCAGCAAGCCGACAGCAACGCCACTGGATCTAGGCGCCGATCTCAAGGCGGACGACCGCAAGTTCGTCCAGGACCTGGCCGACAGTCTGAGAATTGACTGGCGGACCGACGAGGATGGCGAGGGCAACCGCCGCTTGGTCCTCTCTTTCCCCGCCGACCGTGTGTCCAATAAAAATGGACAGAACGAGGACGATGAGGAAGAGGAAGAGGCGCAGCTGGCCCTCTTCCGTGTCATGAAGAAATACGACACGGCTGACGTCGTCGACGTCTTTGCCGGCGAGAGCCAGGAGGCTCTCGACAAGCTGTACATGCTCAAATTCCAGCAGTGGAAAGACGCCTACTACAAGGACAAGTTTCACTGGTCCGACGCCGAGCTGAGCAGCGAGGTTCGCAAGATCTGCGAAAACTACGTCCAAGGCCTGCAATGGGTCCTGTTCTACTACTACCGAGGCATTGCCTCGTGGCCGTGGTTCTACCAATACCACTACTCGCCCCTGATTTCCGACGTTATCAAGGGCCTGGGCGCCGACCTCAACTTCAAGCTCGGCCAGCCCTTCCGCCCCTTTGAGCAGCTCATGGGCGTGCTGCCGGACCGCAGCAAGAGCATTGTGCCCACAGTCTACTGGGGCCTGATGACAGACGAGAACTCGCCCATCATCGATTTCTACCCGCGCGACTTTGAGCTCGACATGAACGGCAAGAAGATGGAGTGGGAGGCCGTCGTCAAGATTCCCTTTATCGACGAGCGCCGATTGCTGGACGCCATGGCGCCCAAGAACGACCTTCTCTCGGAAGAAGAAAAGGCCCGCAACGAGTTTGGCGTGCCCATTGAGTTTGCCTTCCAGCCGGACACCGACTTTGTCTACCTGTCGCCGCTGACGGGCATATTTCCGGACGTCACGCACTGCCGCTGCGTCATGAACATCTTTGACCTGCCGCCCACGGAGGGTCTCGAGTACCTGCACGATCTGACAGACGGCGCACTGCTCAATGCGTCGGCCCTCGCAGGCTTCCCCAGTCTGCACACGCTGCCCTACCACGCGTCCCTCGGCTTCCACGCCGTCAACGTGTTCCAGCAGGACAGCCGCAACGCCAGCATGGTCGTCACCCTGTCCGACTCGGAGGCGCGCACCAACATTGAGGCGGCCAAGCGTAAACTCGGCCAGCGTTGCCACGTTGGCTACCCGTTCTTGCAGGAGGCCAAGGTTGTGCGCGTGTCGGACGAGCTCTTCAGCTACACGCTCGACGACAAGGGTGCCGTGGTGCAGACACCGCACGGCGGCCGTGAGCTCGACCGCTGGTCGTCCAAGGCACGCAGCATCGAGGAATTTTACAGCAAGCGCCTGGCCATTCTGACGGGCACCGTCGAGTCGCTCGTGCACGTGCACATGCTCAAGGGCCTGATCAAGACCGACGACGGTGCCACGATCAAGGAGTACGGCGAGGTGCTCTCCATGGAGACCGACTTTGCCACACAGGTGATTGTCGATGCCGTCGTCAATGAGGACGAGCGCTTCATTGAGCGCGCCGCCGTGCCCATCTCCGAGGAGTTCCCTGTCGGATCGCACGCTTTCTACCTGGGCGACTACGCCTACGGCCGTCCTCTTGGCGTGGTCGGCCACAAGGGCAACCGCATGGACGTCATGGTGTCTGTCCTCAAAGACAAGGAGAACGACTTTGCGCACGGCATTGTTGCGCACGCCGATCGCACTCACCGCTACACGCCGTCGTACGCGGTGGCCAAGTCCCTGGACCTGCACCCGCTATCGCTGAGTAAGATCACGTCGTCCTTCTTCGTGTTTTCTGTCGGAAACCTCAAGGTCAACCTGGGCCTGAACCTCAAGTTTGAGGCCAAGAAGCAAAAGGTGCTGGGCTTCTCGCGCAAGTCGGGCACTGGCTGGGAGTTTAGTACCCCGGCCATCCAGCTCATTGCCAACTACATGGTGGCGTTCCCCGACTTCTTCGCCGGCCTCAAGCACCTGCCGCAGAACCGCGACATTAAGGACACGGACATCTGGCCGGACCAGGCGCTAGCATCAAAGCGCGTCAAGGAGATTGGCGCGTGGCTCAAGACGCAGGAGACGAGCAAGCTCGAGCGCGTCCCGCTGGATGCCGAGCAGCTCGACTCGGACATTGTGGGCCAGATCGCCGCGGCTGCCGACAACTCATCTGCCGCTACAGCCCCCACCGAGACGAAGCCTATCAAGAACGTGCCTCGCAACGCGGTGCTGAAGCCCGCCGACGCCGAGCAGCGGCTGGGCAACCAGAACTTTGCGCTCGGCGACCGCGTCGTCTACGTGCAGGACTCGGGCAAGGTGCCCATTGCCCTGCGCGGTACCGTAGTGGGCATCAGCCGCACGCCCACCACAAAACTGCTGGACGTTGTGTTTGATACAACGTTTATGAGCGGCACCACGCTCGGCGAGCGTTGCCCGCCGTTCCGTGGCCAGATGGTGACGGCATCGTCGGTTCTCAACCTGTCTAACCGCCAGGTCGTCGCCGGCTCGCGCGCGGCCATTGAGCGCAAGCCGAATGCCTCGCTGACGACGCTGACGACACCGACGACCGGCTCGGGTGGCAGTGGTGGTCAGCAGAATGGCCCGAACGGCCAGGGTTTCCGGCAGTACCGTGATGCAGCACCGCCTGCCCCTCTGCGCGGGTCGTTTCGCGGCGCTCTGAACGGCAGTAACAATGGCCGTGGGCGCGGCAATGGCGGCCAACAGCAGCAGTCGCGCCCGGGACCGCGCCCCGGCACGGCCCTCGAACATAGCAGCCTTGTGTACCGGCCGGGTGGACAGGGACAAGGACAGGCACAGCAGCCACAACAGCAGCAGGCCAACGGCCGCGGTGGCCGCGGCGGTCGGGGCGGCCGTGGTGGCCGTGGTGGCACTAGCCACGGCAACGGCGACGGCCAGCAGCAAGGCGCGGCTGCGGTGGCTGCAGCGCAGTCGTTCAACGCCGTGCCGCCGCCGGCCAACCTCGAGGCCCATCGTGGAGGCCGGGGTCGTGGCCGTGGTCGTGGTCGTGGTGGCCGCGGCAATGCCGCCGGCGGCCGTGGCGGCAACAACGCGGGCCAGCAGCCAACCAAGAACGGCGGCGGCAACAGTTCCAATGCCGCTGCTCCTGCTCCGTCAGCGGCGTAAAACGCTCTCACATCGCCAACTGGGCAGACCAACGCGGGACGAACCCCGTCTGGGTGTTGTATGCAATTGGTTGTTTGATCTTTCACATTTCGGCCTCTGTTTTGTTTTCCTACCATTGTGTCTTTTTCGCATTATACCGGAACAAAAGCGCTGGGGTCATGTGGATATTCATGATGAAATGGAGGGAGCAATCTACCGGCTCCTTTTTGGGTTTATGCTCAAATATTGTCTCATGGATTTTATGTACAAATATAGTAACACATAGGAAAATGGCGAGCCGATCATGAAAGCAGCATCGACGGTGGAGAACGTGTTTTGACAAGGACAACTGAGGCAAAGTACGACGTAATACTTTGTGAATGTCGATTGTCGTAGAAACAGCCAATCAGGAGCTGTGCTGCGAGAGCTTGAGCTGTATGTCATATCACCGTGTGAAGCAGCTTGTGTACTTGTATGTACGGGTTCTGCCGCCCTTCACCGCCCGTTGTGCACTTTACGCGACTTTTAACGTGAGAAGGAGCAACCCCCGGCTGGGAGAGGTTTTGGCGCCGAGCGCGGGTTCATCTGAGGGTCAGTCGCGGTTTCCCTACCTAAGCTTTTTTGGCGTGTTTTCCTTTGCTGTCCCCCCCTCCCTCTCAGCTTGCCTTCTTGTGTTCGCTCTTTCCCTACCAATTCGCTTCACCAACCTTCCCCTGACCGAATCTCAAGATCTTGCCCAACTCCTCGACACGGTCGATCTGGCATTCATCATATTTGCAACCTTGGCAAACGACATTCTGCCTCTCCCTGTCTGCAACCGACTTACCAGCCTTTCTATCACCCCAAGAAACCAATCATGGGCCCCCAAGGCGCACAGGTCTCAGACGACGTGGATGGTGAGTTGCTGTGGAAAAGAAGGGCGTTATTGTCTCTTTCTTTTACAAACGGACGGTGGTAGAGGAAAATACGATGCTAACAGTTGTTTCGCACTCATAGTGGACATGCAGAACGATGAGGGCATCAGCATTGATCAGGAGCAGCGGGTGATCAACGAAGGTATGTCGAGGCTCACGAAGCAATGGGGAGAAAATTGCAATCTGCGTGGGGCGGAGAGAGGTTGAGGGAAAGCTGAGGATATGAGGTGCGAGGATTACGGCGGCCTGGACTAACGAGGCGTGCTTTTGCAGAGTACAAGACGTGGAAGAAGAACAGTCCATTCCTTTACGACATGATCCTGAGGTAGGTTGTTGCGAAATTATCTCCCCCCCTCCCCCGCCCAGCTAATCTCACCACATCTAACCCGACTCCAGCAATGCTCTACCATGGCCGACTCTGACGACACAGTGGTTTCCCGACGTCAAGGTGCTCGAGGAGAAGAAGTCGCGTGTCTACCGGTTGCTGCTCGGCACGCACACGTCCGAGGACCTGCCCAACTACCTGCAGATCGCTGAGGTCTCGATCCCGATGCTGAGCGAGCCAAACGTGAACGACTATGACGAGGAGCGCGGCGAGATTGGCGGCTACGGCAACAAGGGCTCCAGCGGAGCCAACAGCGGCAGCGGTAGCGGCAGCGGCAGCAACGGCGCAGGCGGCAGCAACGGTGCGGCACCGTCCATCAGCTTCAACATTGTCCAGCGCATCGACCACCCGCAGGAGGTCAACAAGGCGCGCTACCAGCCGCAGAACCCAGACATTCTGGCGACGCTCTGCGTCGACGGCCGCGTCCTCATCTTCGACCGCACCAAGCACAGCTTGACGCCCTCGGGCACCGTGAACCCGCAGTTTGAGCTGGTAGGCCACAAGCAGGAGGGCTTTGGCCTGGCGTGGAACCCACACGAGGCCGGCTGCCTGGCGTCCGGCAGCGAGGACACCACTGTGTGCCTCTGGGACCTCAAGCAGGCCACGGCCGGCAGCAAGACCATCAAGCCCGCACGGCGCTTCACCCACCACAAGAACATTGTCAACGACGTGCAGTACCACCCAATCAGCAAGAGCTTCCTGGGCAGTGTGTCGGACGACATGACCCTGCAGGTGGTCGACATTCGGCAGGCGACGAGCGATAAGGCGGCTCTGGTGGCACGCGACGGGCACACGGACGCGATCAACGCGCTCGCCTTCAACCCGACCAGCGAGTACATTGTGGCCACGGCGTCGGCGGACAAGACGATCGGCCTGTGGGATCTGCGCAACGTGCGCGAGAAGGTGCACACCCTCGAGGGCCACAACGACGCCGTCACGTCGCTGGCGTGGCACCCGCACGAGGCTGCCATTCTGGGTAGCGGCTCGTACGACCGCCGCATCATCTTCTGGGACCTCAGCCGCGTCGGTGAGGAGCAGCTGCCTGACGATCAGGAGGACGGTCCCCCGGAGCTGCTGTTCATGCACGGCGGCCACACGAACCACCTTGCCGACTTCAGCTGGAATCCCAACCCGGCCGACTCGTGGCTGGTCTGCAGCGCCGCCGAGGACAACCTACTGCAGATCTGGAAGGTTGCCGACTCGATTGTCGGCCGCGACGACGCGGACCTGCCCGTGGATGAGATGGACCGCTAGAGACGAGTCACTCGCCTGTCAAATTTCAGCGATCTGCCAGCCGACCTGATGTCGACGGGTCTGCTTTCACCCTCGCCGTGACCTTTCGATCGACGAAATTTTGCGAAACGAGCCTGTTCGTTCTCCCGTTCTTTTGTGTTTCGTATTTGCTTGATTTCCACTTTTTTTATTGTATCTTGACAGGATATCTGTCTGGTGTTTCCATCTACAATTTCTATGATCATTATTTACTGTTTACAAACGGCGTCTTTGGGGCTTCGGGATGAGACGGAAGGGAGGACGAGGGAGCAAAGGCCTAGTCCTGGCTGGTCGACATGTACATGCCGTCCAAAGAAATGCTAAAAGAAGGGCCAGTGTCTTTCCTTTTGGCGGCATGGAGGCAATGCTAAATACAAAAGTTCTTTCCACCTTGATTCTCGTCGTTTCGTGTACGGTGGTTCTATTGTCTCTATTCATTCGACGTCCTACCAACAGGCTGCAAGGTGGGCAGCTTCTCCCAGCCCAAACACATCAACCTGGTTGTGAGATGCTTTCGTTGATTTCCTGCTTCATCTCCCACGTCTTGTGTAACGCTGTTTCTATGGGCCCTCCTCCAATGGCTTCGACCTCACTGTGTGCACAGCAAGGCAGGTCGAACTTATTGCTATTGTTCCACTTTTACCCGGTCTTAGCGCGTGCATTTTCCTGCAGCTTGTTGCTATTGTTCGCATCGAGGCCTCGATGCTCTATTGACGAGGTAACATTGACTTCTGAACAGCTTCCATGTTTTGGTGCATTCGACCGACCTCGCACCGCAATGGTTCCTAACAGAGAATTGCTCATTGATGCTTTCTTCCTTTCCTGTCAAAATGAGAGTCTTCGAATTCTTTCTGCAGACCTCGTCTTGATCTTTTTACATCAACAATCCACCCTCTACTTGCGTCTTGTTTCTTATATTTTATTTTGACCCGGACTTTCCACACTTTTGTCCCTCAACATCTTTCGTCTTTACCAACAGCTTCTTCCATTTTCCCCATCGTCTCTCTGTGCATGCTATAGCAATCATGGATGTCCCTTCGCCAGCCTCCAAGGGCAAGAAACGAGCGTTGCCTCTCGACTTGCAAGACATCGCGGCGGCAATCCAGAATTTGCCAGGAGACTCGTCCGCACTTCTGCCGACACCAGCACCATTTCCTCAGTCGTTCGGATCGGCGGCCACCAGCAGCAGCTTTGTATCTGCCACCACTGCGCAGTCTGCACCAATGCCAGCTACAACGGATGCCCCAGTCGCTGCACGAGGGCGTTTTACCAAGGTCCAACAGGCCATCAATCGCGCCGCACAGCGTGCCAACCGCCGCATCCGACGAGACATTGGCCGCGGTCGCTACACAACCAAACAGATTACAGATGTCCTCCACGAACGAAACATGCTTTTCCAAGACTGGCACAGGCTCCACGCCGATGCCCCTGGCAAGGACAAGAACCATGGCTATCACGAACTGGACAGAACATGGTCAGGCATCCACACGATCCCTTCCACGTTTCCTCATGACTTGCCAAACAGTTCGCTCAACAGCAATGTGTCTGCTGTCGTCTTCACGCAGAGCCTACCCGATGTCCGATTTGGAGACAGCCAGCAGCCTCGCCCGTTTACGACCTGCGAGCCGGGAACGGTTCTTTCCTGGACCAAGTACTTCAAGCTCTTTGAGAGTGCTTCAGACGGAGTGGCCCATGGGAATGCAAAAAGTGGCCTGCAGATGTTGCCAGCACAGCCAATACAGCCTCTTCAGCTGCGTCTCCGGCGCCTACTTGGAGAAAAGCGACCCATGGACGAGCAGCTACAGTCAACACCGCCGGCTCCCAAGCGGCGTCTTCTCTCCAGAGCCGTGACACTTGGTCACCCTCCCAAGCAGAACGACGAAAGTTACGACGGTGCCGTGCAGTTCCACCCCCTTTCGCTCGGTGCTCGCAGCTCCAGTGCGCAGGCCGCTCCTACTCCCACGACGAACCACCAAGACCTCCCCAGTTCACCTCAGCCAGTGGCAGCCAGCATCAAATTCGACCTGATGAGCTCCATCTCTTCATGCCTCGACATCGTTCTCAACGTGTGTACATTCCTGGATCTGAGTGACATTCTCACTCTATATCGCGTCAGCCGAGTTTTCAAAGCCACATTCGACAACGAGTTGGAAGGCAACGTGATGCGCATGGCCCGTCAGTTTGCATCGGCTGAGACTGTCCGCATCTTCCCCTTTTGGCTTTTCCCCAAAGCTACCATTCCCCTGCCCTTCCACGCCGATGATAATAGACAGCATTCGCGCGCCCCGACGCTCCGCTACGTCAACATGCTAGTCAGCCGTGAGCGCAAGGTCCGCGACATTGTGGCTTCACTTGCCCGTGCCGGTCACCGCCTGCCACCGTCTACTGCGACAGCTGCCTTGAAGAAGATGTGGCTACTTATGGATATCCCGACAAACCAAGACCGGATGAATATGCTCCAGGACGAGGAACTCTTTTCCAACGCGGACCTCCTCACTATCCATATGTTCCATGTCAAGCTCGTCTTGTACTTTCACGATCCACTCTTCGGCCCCGACATTTCACTCCCTGACACGACTGACGTCGAAGAAGAACAGATTGTACCCGAGCCGATTCTAGAAGCTTCTGGGACCTTTGGCGTTCCGGCTGGCGTTGACATGAACGACGTGCACAACGAAACATCCGCCGCTACAAATGTTGAATCCATCCTGTGGCAGCAACTGGAGTTGCCAGGGCATGCTCTTGTTGAGACGCTCCTCGGCCAACGCGGCGGCTTTGACGTCTTGTGGAACTTTCTACGCGGCAAGGCATTTCGGAGTTTTCGAGATGTGATCGAACTCAAGGTCCGGTACGACTACGCACCGCCCGCCATGGACGCTGTTGATCACAATGCTGCTCAGATTCTCAGTTCGATGGCAACGGCGGAGAATGCGGAAACTTTTGGGAATTTCTTAAACTCCATCGAGGGCTTCTCCGACCTGGCGAACTTTGACTTCAAATTTGACTTCAACTTTGACTTCAACTTTGACGAATTCATCGACTTTGATCAAGGACGCTTACCAGAGACTGCTGAGGACAAAAATACGACTGTCGACGACGTCTTACGGTTAGTTCCAGCCTGGGAGATGGGCATTGGCCACCTCGAGGGCTGGGGTACGGGCACACAACATCTGCTTCGGCCAGACGAGTTGGTGCCGCTGGAAGCGGCGCGCCGCATGCGCGCCAACCCGGATGAGCACGTTGACTTGACCAATCACGTGCCGTACATGGGCGTTTGGGGCAATCGCGACTTCACTACAGGCGAGAACCTAATTCCGTCGGTCGAAGAGCTGTACATTTCCGACAGCGAAGAGGACAATATCGTTGGCCAGATTGACAGCGGCGACGACGGCGACAATGACAAGGAGAACATGGGAACGTTGGCAGTGGCTTCTGTCTACGAGATGCGGTCTGTAGTGGCACTGGTCAACAAACAATTCGAAAACTACCGGTACCCTACGTCTAGGCGTCGGATGGATGACCGATGCGGCAACGTCGTCGTGGACGAGGAGGATTGGCAACCATATCTCTCGCTCAAGAGCCGCTGGAGTACACTGACCTTACAGGAGAAGCTCGATGTCTGGTGGGAAAACCATCAACAGCGCCTGTGGCGGCAAGCGTGGACTCAGAGGGGCGACAACGACCAACGTGCCAGCAGCAGCAACAACAACAACAACAATGTCAATAACAACATCGACGATGTTTCATATACCCAGCCTGACGATCCAGCAAACGACGATGGCGATGGCGATGACGATGACGACGGTAATGATGCAGATAACGAAGAGGGCTATGATATCGGTTCCGACTGTGACGAGGACATGATGGACGGGGATTCTGACAGCGATCAAGACGAGGATAACGTCGACAGGTATCAGAGCGGCGATGGTAGTGGAAGCCCCTCAAGCAGCAGCCACAAGCCAGCCTTGCATGGTACAAGGGCGCCCAGTACGCCCTTGGCACCACCACCACCGTCGTCGTCGTCGTCGTCCGCTGCTATCCCTCTGCCCGACACGTCCCAGAACCTATCGAGACGCCACCAGAGACTGGTCCGCTCCTGCATCCGCTGGGCGCTGAACGAGCAAGGTGAGGTCGACGCCGCGCTGCTGGCACAGGCCGACATGGTATACGAAGAGGAAGAGCTGCAGCACTGGGACGCATTCATGGCCGCGGCCATGGCGGCAGGCAACCCGATTTTTGGCGGTGCCCCGGCCGGCAGCGACTTCGGTACGGAAGACGGCCACGACATTGAGAGCGACGTTGACAATAACGACGATGCTGGTGACGACCATCTTCCAAGCACGCCTGTCCCCAATGCAGAAGACGTTCTTGCGCCCGAATTTGGCAGCATTGGAGACGTTGTCCGGCTCGTACGCCAGGTCAATGACTGCCTTGCCGCCGCCGAAAAAGCCAGAAAAACTCTCCGCTCCGACGATCCGGACACTGCCAGCACGGCGAGCGTGCGTCTGTCTGACCTCGTGAAGGAAGCCGAAGAACTCCAGTCACAGCTTGCGGCTGTGCTGCAGGGCGAAGTGTTTGCGATTGAGCTCTAATCAGGTTTGGCGTGATATGAGAAAGAAGAGCACGAAATAGACCTCGTGAGAACTTTGTGGTGGAGATTAGGAGTATGCAGCTTGTTCTCGTTTGCGTTTTGTCTTGTCATTTCTCAATCATGTGTCGATATTGGCCGTTGCACTGTCTTCGTATGTTTGTTTTTCAAAAGCAGCTCTTTGCCATTTGTCCTACATGTTCTCAAGCACACCTAATAATGCTACAAGCAGATAATTTCAGCCATTTCAACGTATAATAATCAAAGCACGCCTTACGAGAAAAGAATAAAAATGTAAACCAGTTCAGCTACTACACCAGTTCCAATGAAAAATCAAAGGAAAATGGAACGACAAAAATTGAGGTGAAAAAATCTAGTGTTTGGGAAAATATACAGGAGTTTTTGTGCGGTTTTATAGATCTTTTTTTCCATCTTTGCACGCGTCGTCTTGTGATGTTGCGCTCGTTCTTCCTCTTCTTTCGCTTCGTTGCTTCATGACCTTCCTACAACATCAATTAACCGTTCACCATTGCCGCTCATGGGGGGAGGGAACCAGCTCGCTCTCCTGCGAGGCCAGCGGTCCTCTCTTTGGTCATGCCCTTCGAGTTCCTGGACAACACGCATTGCGGCAAACCCCTCTTAAAATTGCAGCCTGGTCAACAACTTAGGCGGACTCCTCGGGGTACAGCTCCTCCTTCAGGACAATGCCGAGCTCCTCCTTCAAGGGCTTGAGCTCCTCAAGGTACTGCTGGTACTGGCCCTTGTTCTCGACCTTGGCCTTGATGCCTAAGACAAGTGCGTTAGTACATAGGAACAACAAATGGGCGACTACTGCTATGTGAACACCACATGTTGTTACATACCCTCGAAAACGCGGACGGCGGTCGGGTAGTCGTTGACTCTCCGGGCGGCTTTTAACGCAGCAATCAGCACAGACGGTGACGGGACCAGGTCGTAGGCGAAGGCGTTGTTCAGGTTGCGCTGGAGCTCGAAGACGTCCTGGACAGAGTCAAACTCCTTCTCATATCTAGACCAAACATTCGATGTCAGCTTCAGTTTGCGACTCAATTGGCCCAAGAAGCCGTCGGGATAGTAAATCGAGCAAGCGGAGACGTCTAATCGGAGCTGTGCAGCGCGGCCACGGAGCTGCCTATAGCAAAAATGCGGCCCCGACGACCAGGCCGCTTCCGCTGCTCCGATTGCGCACGTCCCGTCCGCTTCGCCCACACGGCCAATGGGACCCAATTCGGCCAATAACCCATCGTCCTCCTCAAATCGGCATATTGCATGGCGCGTACCTGGCGGTGAACTCCTCAAAGGTCTCCTCCTGGTGCTCAGACCGGAGGCGGGCACCGGCGCTGAAGGCGGCCTTCTGGACAAAGGCAGTGCGCGTGGTCATGGCAGCGGGGCGGGCGACGAGGGGTGCCCGGAAACCGCGGGCGGCGGCACGAAAGATGGAAGCAGACATGTCGGCGTGTGGATGGTAGGTGGTGGTGGTGGTGGTGGTGGAGAGGAGAGCTGTGGCGGTTTATGCCGGAAGTATGACGAGACACGAAAAATCGTCGGTTAAAAAGATTTTCGCACGATCAATTGGCGTTGCCGCAGGGCCGCTCGTCGGAATTTGGATGGGGAAGAAAAGACGGTGCTTTTGATTTCGCAAAGGACAGGGCCGTGGGCGCAGAGCTGTCGAGTTCAACAGACGTTCGAAGAGAAGAGGCAGAGAGAGCGAGACGAGAGGAAGCGGAAAGGGAGGGAAGAAAATGAGAATCGAATGATGTTTTTTTCCCTCTCGGTTAGCTCTTGCCAGCTAACGTTGCGGGCTTTGTCGCCTGCTAGGGATTGCACCCAGGCTGTGGCTACCACTGGGAAGCAACCCACCCCTCCTCGTTCCTACCAGCCAAACCCCCCGTTGTTTTCCCGCCAAAGTCATGCGCCTTCCCCCCAAAACCGCTACGTGTTGTCGCCTCAGGCAGAGAATTTTAGGTAAATCAGGACAAAGCTTCCCAGCAACTGGCCCAATCACCAGACGCGGTTTCCCAATCGACAGGTGAAACTGCCTTTTCCGAAAGCTCCAGCAGGCTCACAAGACAAACATGGAAAGAGCAATGTCAGTGCCGCGTTCTTTCCTGTGTGGCTGCGGAAAGCTACGACGTAATACGACATACAAATGGGGATATGATGCATGGAAATCACGGGTTCAGGTACGGACGTTTCTAGCCGAATCGTCTGGCCGTTGCCCAACAAAGCTCCAACAAGGTGTTGTCGCATGTGCAAAGCTCCCGCCAGATAGAAAGGACGGGCCGCCTGGCGCAATATGGCAACTGAAATGCCCTTTTGGGGCATTCGACTCGTATCACGTGACAGCGTTTTGAGTCCAGAAGCTTTTCAACGACAACACAACGTGTGGCCCGTCTCGTCGTCTCGTGAAATACCGTGCCCATACTCCGTGGTTTCAATAACATTTAGATCCCACAAGTCGAAGACAATGGGAATGCCCAAATCAGCGGACGGACATTTGGTTTTCAACAGCACTGAAGTTGCTCAACTACAGGTCTTTCCATTCGATCTGCCGGGAGAGTTCTTATCTAAGATTTCCGTCTCCCTTTATCTATGCGCGAACCGCGCTCCAGCGCCCTAGACACTCACAAAAGCCAGGGGGTTAATGATTTTGGCTTGGTAAGACCAGAAGCATTTTCGCGTCTTTGCTTGTGACGAGGGCGGTGAGATCCGGCAGAACTGTGGCCTCGTCCGCGTTGGCTGAATAACGCCACGGACACTGGTGTCTAATTGGCCAAGAGTGCTAAGCAATTTGCGCTGTGGTGCTAGTTCAGTTTACTTGCACCGCACCTGCCGTTGCTACCGACACCCAATCAATGCTTTGTGTCTGTCGTTCTTGCAGTTACCAGAGCTGCAGTGCCGAGTGTCCAATGTTTTCCTGTTCTTTCCGCCAACGTATCTATTCTGTCAGCCCCTATGGCGAATACTCGTTTGTAGGAAGGTGCGCTTGATTTGAATAAATTCCCCTAATCCAAGACGCGCCTATTTACCACAAATGAGTGCTCTGGCAGCTTTGGTCGCATGCTTATTCGTTGCAGGGGACAATGCCCCCTTTGTATTGATGAGATTTGTTCCCCACCGTTTGATTTTTAAGATTGCTCGCTGTCCTCACATGCGCGCTTCCCTCGTTGCGACATGCGCTCCACAGTGTCCCCAAAAGGCGAGGGTCGCAACTACCTGCGCTCCGCGTGCGCCGCGGCCTGACCGGACTTTTCCCCTTTTGGATCGCCTTTACTAGGGCCACGTTCAACCAAGCTTCTCTTCCCCCTTCTATACAGTATTTCCTCGATCATTCTTTTTTTCGTCCTTTTTCGTTTCCTCTCTTTTCCATCTCGTCAACCTTTTCCCTTTCAATCGTCTGTGTTTTTTTGGTTCGGATTTTCTCGTCACTCCTTTTAATCACCTTCTTTTTCTCTTCTTTTCCCTTCTTTACTCCTCCTTTTCCCGCGACTTCCGGGCTACATCTATCGAACGTCTGTTCGTCTGTCTTCTCGATTTTTCGAGTGTCACGGACAGTAACAGCTATCATTTACAGCCAATTCGTCGTCTCGATCGACTCCAGCGTTGAGCTTTGCCTCTTTAGCCTTTTCGATAATCGTCGCGGCGCAAGGGAACTGGTTGGTACGCGTGCACCCCTATTCAGCGTTTGGGACCGTCTCGGTCCTCGTGTCTTTTTTTCGCGTCGTTGTTGCCCCTTTTTGGGCCAGCCCCAAATTATTGTCCCCCCTCCCTCCATGTCTTCACGATCGCCCTGCGTTCAGCATCCATCAACGTCAGTGTGCATTTGTCACGTTGCCCGGTTATCTTCCGGCGATAACCTTTTCTTCTTCTTGACTTGATTCGCATTTCCCTTGGAACTCACGTCACTTTTTGAAGCCTGGTGGTCATTACTAATTTGTATCGCGTGCCCTTAGTTCGCCTTGTTGCATTGACCGTCTTCGGTTTCTATCTTATTGATCCTCCCCGACTTGCCCACAATGTCGTCTTTCGGTGACTTGATCGAGCTGGGCGTGCCTACTCTGGACCGCCCCTTTGGCCTGAAACTATGGCCCATCTTCAACAAGGCGTTTGAGCTTGTCGTCGGCTACCCAGCCGACCAGTTCCAGTTCGTCGCCGGCTCGACGCCCATGTCGACGCTCAAGGAGACGAGCATCTTCATCGTCATCTACTACTTCATCATCTTCGGTGGCCGCGAGGTGATGCGCAACCGCGAGGCGTTCAAGCTGAAGGCGCTGTTCCTGGTCCACAACTATGTGTTGACGGTCGTCAGCTTCCTTCTGCTGGTTCTGTACGCTGAGCAGCTGATTCCCACCGTCGCCCGCCACGGCATCTTCCACGCCATCTGCAGCAACGAGGGTGGCTGGACCCAGGAGCTGGTTGTCCTGTACTACGTACGTATTTTGATTTCTCCTAGATGATGCCCTCAGCATCGCGCGTCATGGTGACAGTAGGAATGCCAATGCTGACCCTGCCTCTCTCTCTCTACAGCTCACCTACCTCACCAAGTACCTAGAGTTGCTCGATACCGTTTTCCTGTTCCTGAAGAAGAAGCCCCTTACCTTCCTCCACTGCTACCACCACGGTGCCACCGCTCTTTTGTGCTACACCCAGCTGATTGGCTCGACCGCCGTTTCGTGGGTCCCGATCACCCTGAACCTGGGCGTCCACGTCGTGATGTACTGGTACTACTTCCAGTCCGCACGGGGCATCCGCATCTGGTGGAAGGAGTGGGTCACCAAGTTCCAGATCATCCAGTTCATCATCGATCTCGGCTTCGTCTACTTCGCCTCGTACACCTACTTCACCTCCACCTACTTCCCGTACTTGCCCAACATGGGCAAGTGCTCTGGCGAGGAGTTCGCTGCGTTCGCCGGCATTGGTATCCTGAGCTCGTACCTGGTCCTGTTCATCTCGTTCTACCTGGCCACGTACCGCAAGGATGGCAAGAAGACGACCTCCCGCAAGGCTGTGCGCCGCATGTCCCAGGCTCCCCTGCCCGACCCGCACGACCTGCTGGTCGGCACTCAGCCTGCCACCGCGACCACCACCGGCGCCAAGCCCGCCGCTGCCAAGACCAGCGGTGTCACCACCCGCTCTCGCAAGGCATAATCGCCAGTGGTGGCAATCCGGATCCTCTGTCAGCCGTCCGTCGTGTTACCAGACAATAAAGAAAACGCCTCGGACCCTGTTTAGATGAAGCGACACACGCTCGAAAGGAACTCGAGGTATCCATAGCATGGCGGTGCTGACGACGACGATGGATGAGAGAGGGCTTGCACATGCTTATGTGTTTGCGGGCAAGTGCTCGCCGGCCAAACAGAAGACGGGTGATCCTAGATGTGACATTTTTTGCGCTGCACCATCTCGGCCACCAAACAAAAATGGCGATACGAGTCGGCTGAGCCTGGAAACAACTCACATACTAGCGAACAACAAAAACAGGGCGGACGACGTGAAGCCCCCTTGTCCTTTACAGCGGGTGTAGAGAGAACGAGCTATTTTCTCTCCAGAGAGACGCAGTATATAGAAAGAGAAAAGACGTCCAAAGGGGCGTGTCTTTGTGGGTGTTCTTCTCGTTCTACTGCTCACTTTTCTACCTTGTCATTTTCTTGTACCCATTTTCTTGTATCAACCCTGTATTCACAACGAATTTCCTACCTCTCTTTTGCTCATTTCGATTTCCTTTATATATTTCTCTGTTCATTATGTTTTTTATCTACTCCATTTTAACTCCTTCCCATGTTTAGTCTCCTTTTGTTTACATGGCCTGCACAAAGACACGCGCACGGAATGACGGAGTGGACGAGGAGAAGACCATGCGTTTGGCCCGTTGACTTGCCAATCGCCATCTTCTTAATTAGCAGACGACGTATCCTCCTTTTAGAGGACGTCTGTCTCCCGGTCATCCTTGTACGAGGCGGACATAATACAAAAAATAATACAAAGTAGAATAAAAGTTATGAAAGCATCATCATTCAGCTCGGCCAAATGCTTGCAAGGTGTCCAGCGACCGGCGAAGCGGCAGTCTCCTGGCCAGACCAGACTACGAATAGCACAGTATGTTATGGACCCGTCATGAGTTTGCCGTCCTGGCCAGTTCTCGGCCAACAGAAGTTAGCAGGGCCATCTTCTGATCTTCCCTGACCTGTGGAGATCCCCTTTATTTGCATAAGATCGGATATTGATTTGCGGGGAAAGAGGCGCTGTGTGTTCATCGTGGGCATCGTTTTTTACCAGTCTTTTTACCGGGCCAGTTGCCGACGAAGAGACTATGCCGTGTGCTAGACCATGCCGTGGAGGCTGCTCCGTGATCTACAAACAGACAGTGGCGAGATGGAGGGAACAAAAGCTCGCGCTCTCCTGATGCTTATTTGTCACGCCTTCTTACCAGTTATGCTTTTCTCCTCCCAC